TCACAGCACCCTGGCCTTTATCGTACCTGCCTACAAATCCAGAGTGCCTGCCATTTCTGGACCAGAGAGACCTGGTGTGCAAAGTGTCTGTGGATAACTAAAACTGTCAGACTTTGAATTAATCATTTTAAGAGAAACTATCTTTGGAAAGGTGAAATGCAGAACTCCAAAGCCGTGTAAAGCTGCCTCAGTGTTGAGTGCAGACTCTCTTGTATATTGCTAACTGAGAAGATGTTTTGATGCAAGGAGTTCTCTTCAGTTCTGGTTGGGAGCGTGATGGATGATTTGGAAGAGTGAAATATTGTGAAGCAATATGTTGACTCAGGATTCTGGAGATTATGGAGGTGGGTGCCACAGTGGTGTTGAGTTTGGGAGGGGAGTAGACTTTGTTTGGTCCTTCCAATCGCAAAGCCCAACGCTGTGCACCCTGCCCTGTGCAACTTCAGCGCTATGTGGAGATTCAAGACGAGTTCTGCTGCAGTTTTTGTACAGATCTGACCGTGACCCGAGCCACTAGGAACTACAGATTGCGGTTTTCTCGGATTAGAGGCAGAGCCATACCATTATGGCTTCCCCGGCGACTGTTTTTTTGACAGCAGATGTGCTGAAATATATGTATGATATAAAAATTAACCAAAAAAACAAACAAAACTAAAAAAAAACAACAACAATGTGATTAGCACTTGCTTTTTTTTCTTCTTCTTTTTTTTTTAAATATGTTAATATGTGTTTCTGATCTACAAATATGATTTTAATGCTTTCTCATGTAGTTTTGTATTTTCAGGCAAAAAAATCTTACTGTATTTGAATGTCTCTTATTTTATTATATATTATTATTATTATTGTTAGCACACATTAGGCTTGCTGTAATCATACTCATGTCTCAGCATATAAGTTCTTTCTGTGAAAGAGGAATAACAAAGAAAGGATCAGAAAACTAACACTAAATTGTCCTCCAGCATTTTTTTTTTCTTTTTAATGAGGTGATTTCTTTTAAGTTAACTTCTTTTATGTGAGAGATTGATGTGTGGAACTTATGGTTGTGCAGGTTACGATATGTTTGCATCACATTTGTTGCTGCCATAATTAGAAAAAGCGTTATTTTTGCCTATTGTATTTATCTTTCTCATTCTCAAGTTCCCTTTCTAAATATTTGGAGCTTTAATCTCCAAGTGGTTAGAAGTGTTAACCAAGGGCCCAAGAATTCTGAAACATGTTTGACCGTTAATCTTACACCGAATGTAAAGAAATGGTTTCTATTAAAAATAATCCCAGAGCATTTTCATTCAGATAATTTTTTGTCCATGCGGTCAAAGCATCCTGAAAATGTATCCTGACTTTAGAAGCATTTTTATGCATTCTTTTGGGCCCATGGCCTGACTTGTGCCTGTTTTAAGTACGATAGCGATTTTGAAAAGCCTTGCTGGAGTTGGTTTATATTGGAGGCCTCTGGCCTCTTTCAAGCTGAGACAAGTATCTCTACAGCCCCATTGTCTTTTTGCCCCTCAAACTCCATTTATGTGTAATGTGGTGACTGTGGCTTCTCATGCAGCCTGAATTTTATGCATGTGTACCATAACATCTAGACTTAATATATTGTGAAGTCTTCAATAACCATTATGTAGATGCTAGTATGAATTTAAAAAGGGTTTAATTTCCTAGAAAAGAACAGAAACTGGTCATTTTTAAGAAAATAAACTTTATTAGATCAACACTGGTTGTGCTTGATTTTGTTGATTCAATATGTTTGATGTAGTTTGCCGTTTTAATAACTTGCTTTATAGGTTGCACTACTTATCCATAAAGCCATGAAAACCCCCAACATCTGTCACTACGGTTGAACAGGATAGTATACTGCCTTCAAGAGCTTGTTAAACATGACTTGATTACAGTTATTATAAGACAAGCCCACCCTGATTGCAGGTGTCGCCTTCCTGTAATAACCTAATAGAGATACTCGACTTGTGCAAATAACGTAAGCAAGGTCTTCAAAGCGGCGCCTTGTGCTGTAAGAGACTTTTACAGCAGTGTGCTTTATCTAGTCTGATAAGAATAAGTCGTTATTGACTGAATTCATAAACCCTTCACTTTCCACAATTCCTGGGTAAAAATGCGCCATCTATAGGCAAACAACCTAAATAAGCCTTTCAGAGTCAGAAATCTGCTAAACCGTATTGATTTTCACATATTTTGTGGTATGTTGACAGTATTTGTATTTTCACACTTTATTCTGCAAGTTTTTGTTTTATAGATAATTCATCCATTACTCTTCAAAAGGACAATAATCTATGTTCAAAGGATGTCTGTGGCCTAAATCTATTAGATTTGTTTTTAAATTATAGGCTTCAGTGAAACAAACTCTCTTGCTTTGAGATCGTACTCATCAAAAAAAACTATTACATGCAAGGATACTGTTTTAAGAGAGTACTAGTATAGCTCATATTCCACACTTCAGTTTGGGTCATTGAAATCTAAAGGTTTGTGTTAACAAATTAACTGCTTTCTGTCTAATACTATCCATGCACATAAAAAAGTTGATTAAATTAATCAGAGAAACTAAAAACTTTAATGAAAAGCATTTCAAACACATGACTGTTAGGTAGTTCAGACATTTAAGGCCAAATTAAGTGGAAGTGTGTAGTGTTTACACATACTAACAGCCTTGAACTGCTTATCTAGGGAAATGAGTGGACTGGATGACCTATTTTAAGACAGACTACTTGTTTAAAACAAGTAGATTGCACCTAAAATATAACTGAAATGACCTACATCTACATCTTAAAAACAATGTGATATGATTGAAATCAGATACAAATAAATTCCAAATTTGAGCAATCTGGGATCAAAGCCATAACCTCAGCCACAGATACTTGGTACATATCAGATTGGGGTTTTCAATGGATCAACTTTTAGAGTGTTTGGTTACTTTTACAGAATGTTCGGTTACGTCCTTATCTGGGATTAACATGTGGCAAAAAAGTAACAGCACATTCACTGCATTGGATGCATTACAGGACAAAAAGCATTCCTTAAAAGCCTTGCTTTTCAAAAACAGAGTTGTAATTATAATGTGGAAAAACATGGCACACAACTTTGGGGTGAAAAAGTGACACATTTGCACATGCAAACACAATAAAGGAGAATAGTTTACCCCAAATTTTTTTACTCACCCTCAGGCCATCCAAGATGTTGATGAGTTTGTTTCTTCATCGGAACAGATTTGGAGAAATTTGATTCTTTGTAATCCGCATGACTCCTGTCCATCAGTTAATGTCTTGAGAAGCAAAATTCCGTGTTTGTAATAAATCCATCAGTGAGGCATTTTTTCTTATTCAGTTCTATCAATAATGTTGCTTTCTCCAGTGAAAAAGTCATCTCCTCTGAATCAGGAGAGAAATATACACAGATCAAGCACATCTTAAAAGCGAAAACAGTTCTAAACAAATTGGTGGATTCTAATATGAGAAGACAACAGGCAATTGACTTTTTCACTGGAGAAAGCGTTATTGATTATGGACTGGTATTTTGGCCTGAAGCAATGGTTTAAAGTTAAAAGGTCTTAATGATGGATTTGCTTCTTACAAACATGCAGCTTCACAAGGCATTAATTGATGGACTGGAGACATGTGGATTATTGTGATGTTTTTATCAGCTGTTTGGATTCTGACGGCACCCATTCACTGCAGAGGATGCATTGGTGACTAGGTGATGTAATGCTACATTTCTCCAAATCTGTTCTGATGAAGCAACAAACTCATCTACATATTGAGGGTGAGTAAATTTTCAGCAAATGTTTCATTTTTGGGTAAACTATTCCTTTAATATTTGATAATTTCATTTGAAAATTCATGATTTTCATGTTTGCAATGAATAGCCCAGTGGCTTCTATAAAAGTGCTTGACATAATGTTAAAATAATAAATAAATGAATAAATAGTTAAATAACATAAATTCCTTAAACTAAATGGTCTTGGCCATATTTTATAGCAAAATGAACATTCAATTTTGCACAATTCTTAACTTGTGAGATTCATGTTGTCTGTGTGAGACCCTCTCAACTTTGTCCTCACTGTCCTTTGCTGAAGACGCTGACAGACCCTCCTCGGTGCCATAAATCAATCATGTGATTGGAAAGCCACATGCATGGAGGTTGCAGTTGAATACAGTTAATACACATTTACTTATTTCTAATTGTTTAATTAGATAATGCAGGCCTGCATTTAAGGCTTAAGTTACAATTAGATTCAAGGATAATTACTTATTTGCTGCTGCAAAACTGCTAGATGTGATTTTACCAAAATGTAGCCAGATTTTATTTGGTATTAAAAACTGTTTGCCTGTCAGAACCATTACAAACATTAGAAATAACTATTAAAACATCACAAACGTATTTTGATGTTATTGACTGATTATTATGAATGGCTGTATTTAGAATAGAAGTGACGCACGAAAGGGTTAAATATTTCAGCATGAAAGGGTTAAATGATTAATCGATGGAACAAGCAAATATTAAAAAGTAGAATAATACACTTATGGTCATACTCCTGCCTTTCCAGTCAGTTTAAAATCTCATTGGAGCACAATACTTATATAAGTTGGTAAGTTTTAAGTACCTCTACTTCACATCGCGAAAGAGCCTGCGATTGGACGACGAGCCTCCAGGACTCCCCCGCTAATGACGCAACAGCATCTGACCTCGTTTCCAGCTGGTTGGTGGTCATTCAAACGCTGTCTAAGTTAGTAAAGGTAAAGCCATTAAAATATGAAGCAAATTCTCAATGGGAATATGACGTCAAAATATCTTAAATCTACACCGACTGTTTTAGACTCTCCTTTAAGCGATAGCATTTGAAATAACACCGAATTTTTTGTCACGAGCGAATGAATAATATGGTGCAACGCGGAGCGCATGCTGAACGCAATTGCTTAGGTTTGCTAAAAAAAAAGTGCTACCGCGATGCGGCAGTTGTCAGGGGGATATCGGCGAGGAGAGAGTGTGATTGGCTGAAGTGGCCCTGTTGCCTTGGCGACGATAGGGGGGGTACGGAAGCGTTGCCGTGCGGCGTGATCTCCGCGCTGCGTGGATGGAGGAAGCAGCTGCTGATCTTTTGACACAGCGCGAGCGAAAGGCTACCGCATGAAAGCGCTGGAGCTTTTGTCGTCGGACGCGACAGTAGAATGCACGAATGTAAGTAAAAGCTTATCGGTGTTATTTATAATACTGTTAATTTGAAGGGAAATCTTATGTCAGCGCGTTTTTAATCAGATGACAAGTATAAAACGTGTCTCGTGAAAAAAAATCTAGCCAATAACAAGCCATTGACCTGCCTAATTGAGATGTTTACGTTTTTTAAACGAATATTTTTTTTTAATTCATATTTCGTATTGAAATATACACCCGTCTGTTTTATTTCCAGAATAAATGTATTAATATTTTAGACCATGTGATCTTGCTAGCTAACTTAGTTGAGTAAAATGCATGCGTTCGCCGTCGAGCTGACACGAGACATAAACCAACCACATTCCAGTCGTAGTACACTTTTCCTGAAGAAATGCTAAAAAACAAAAAATATATCCAAGGACTTTTTCTTCGCTGTTTTATATCGCTAGCTGTGCCGAAGCTTGCCGCGAAGCTTTGCTTTAAAGCCACGCATTAGCTTGACGCTAACTGAAAATCCTCGTTCTAAAGACTGGCCAGCATTCTTGTGACATTATCTGCGGAAGTTTCAGAACGCACGACAGATATGCAGTCATAAAATGTATTCTGAATAAAAATACAATTCAAACGTAATTTGTCGCGAAAGTGCTTTTAAAATCGGAACACCCAAATAAAAACAACATTCGAATAGGACGTTAGTCGAACGCGCGATAGTCGCCTATAACAACAGAGTAATGCTAAAGGTTACAGTTGAAGGTTACAAATATATATTCAGTTTGTGGCGAGTAATGAGAATCTAGGGCAACTATGTAACACGAGATGTGAGGGTGGGGGCTGTTATTTTCTCTTGTTTTGTTTTGCTTTGCCTATTACTTGTGGTTGTACATAAGCATTCGTTGAGATCGAAAGCAATGGACTGGTAGTTTTGGTCGTGACTTGTTGATGAAATGGGATGTTCTGACGCGGACGTGCACTCATTATTTCCGGCGGTAGATAACGTCTGAGTGACATTGACACGTGGTCCGAGTGAGCGCATAGCTGTACTTAGGGAAGAGCTGGGGACGGGTAACACAACTCTGAGCAGCGTGTCACATGAGCACATTATTTAGTTCTGCTGTCTACTTTTGCACTTTAGACTGTAGACTCATTCAGGTCATGTTGCGTAGGCAGTGAAAAGGGTTTCTGTGTTGTTAACAGGGTTGTCATGTATTCGCTTTTATTTGCAGTATGATCACATTAGCTCCGTCCACAGTGTACAGAATTCAGATGCATAGCTAGCTACATCTGAAAGGGCACAACTGCCTGCAGAGACTTCATTAGTACCGAATCCTGCGCTAATGTAGTGAGTGGCAATAGTGTCTGTGCAGTGCTGTTTTCTCTGGAGGGCTTTTGTAGGACACAGCAAATGATCCCTTGCTTATTGCTTCTCTCCTGGCATTAAACGGGAAATTAATTAGTCTCATTATGACTCTCACTATGATAGATAAGATCTGGCTCTTGGCTGTATGCAGTTGCTGTCCCACAAAAGCTGAAGAAGTGAGAAATGCAGCCAAGTTCAACCTTGCAAATAAAAGAAATAAAACATGCATGTATGTATATATGTATGTGTATATATATAAGTCATTCTTGAGACGTGGGACAAAACAGGTCCAGCAATGGTAACTGCTATTAGCTTTAAAAAATAAAAAATATTTTCAATTTTTAATGTCATGAGGGATTAATAATAGAATGTATTTAACACAATTATCACCTTCAGTTTAATTTTCTCATTATTATACCAAATCTGTGTTTCTTAATGTCCTCTCACTAC